ATTAACTCATGCTCCTCGTTAAGCATCCTGCAAAAAAATTGGCAAACAAACACCATACGTGGAAATATTGGTTAAGCACAACTCCTTGGGAGGAAAAGAAATCCCCCCCCCCCCCCCCAACACTTATTTCCACTATGGATTTCAGACATTTAAGCTCAAACTACAGTAGCATGGTTGTGAGTTTTCAAGATTCATCAACAAAAAGGATTTGAACCCCCAACCCATGCCACGATTGTTACCAACCACTATTCAAACATAACCACACATTTTCATTCAACAGTTAGCACTTGGTGGTCAAAATCGACAAATAAAAGCAATTCGAAATCACCAAATGCCCACCAAGGCTCAATTAAGCTCATGCAACAACATTTCAACATTCAATCAACCTAATTCGCCTACTTCCTCTCCCTATTTCTAGGTTCAACATTCAATGCACTACAAAATCATCCTCACTTCACTACCTAATCCGATTCTCCCAAATTAAACAAGGTAGAGCTGAAAAAAACCAACCTGGAGACTCAAGTATGACGTAGGAGGAAGTGAGGTGAAGCCGAGGAAGGCAAAAAAAGCTTAAAAACAAGCCGAAGAGTGGTCGCTGGAGCTTCGTCGGAAGCTCATCGGAGACTCGCCGCCGGCGACCTTGCCGGAAGAAACTTGCCCCAAATCTCCCCAAAATTGCAGCACAAGCCTGTTTTGATGTGGGGATAATGGGTATACAATTGGTTTTGGGTTTTGCTAGCCGAAAATGGGTGAAAAATTGAAAAACCGTCGGATTTTCGCGATTTTCCGGCTAGAATTCGAATTTTCCAGTGAGAATTGGGTCGTGAAGTGAAGAGCCGCCGTTCATGCCCCTTTTATAGGCGAATCACGGCGTTCACGGACGCGTTGGCTTGTTCACGGTCATATAGATCGTGAACACTCAAGTCCGTCCATGAACTGGGGTTGGTCGACAGGTGGTTCACATGCAGAAGTGTCTGGTTCACGTACGCGTTTGCTTGTTCACGGTCTTGTAAGAGCTTGAACACTCAAGCCCGTCCGTGAACTCGAGTGAAAACATGGCATTTCTGAGCAAATTTTGACTCGACCTATTCCAGCGTGCCTCCTAATGATCACCACACAACCTTAAATCGCAAAACCACAAAACTTAGCATGGGGATACCACTTGACCACTTGAACTTTTGACTTGACCACTTGAACTCTTCACTTGACACAAAAACGAAAATAAGGAAAAGAAAACAAACCACCGTTGGGTTGCCTCCCAACAAGCGCTAAGTTATGTTCATTATCTTGACAGTTGAGGATCAATCACGTCTTGGAATGTGATGCCACCGAGAATGTATCCTCCACGCTCTCGGGGCGAGGCTTGTAGCCTCCCATTTTATGCTCCATTAGGTGGCCCTCTTGTGCGACCAACTTAGCTTTGACCTTCTCCTTTCTTCGGGCCAAAGCATTCTTCTTCTTTTCCTTAGGCATAGTACCCTCCTTGACTTCCTGCTCAACATCACCACAAGTGACACAAGTAATAGTGGGGTTCGCCTTGAGAGGCTCTCCTCCACTCACATTCACATCATTCGAAACCAATTCTTTCACTTCCTCACTTCTAGCCTTAGGGTCAATTTCAAGAGTGATTCTCTCCTCACCATCCCTCAGAATTAAGGTCCCCTCATTAACATCTATCAATGCCTTGGCGGTGGCAAGGAAGGGACGAGCGAGTATAAGTGGCATATCCGAGTCCTCACTTATGTCAAGAATCATGAAATCAGTCGGATAGCAAAACTTGCCTACTCGCACCATCATGTCCTCCACAATGCCTCTCGGGCTAATGACCGAACGGCCGGCTAAAATGATGTTAAGCTTAGTGGTCTTAAGTTCACCTACTTCTAACTTTTTGAAAAGCTTATAGGGCATCACATTATTAAAACTAGCTCCTAGATTGGCCAAGGCATTTTCTGTACAATGGTTACCAATACCAAGAGGGATAGTTAAGCTACCTTGGTCGGACCGCTTTTTGGGCAAGCGGTTGAGGAGGAAAGCCGAACACTCTTCGCCAAGAGTCACGTTGGAGAGGCCTTCAAACTTTGGTTTCTTGGTGAGGAATCCTTTGAGATACTTTGCATACATCGGCATTTGAGCCATGGATTCAAGGAAAGGGATATTGAGCGGGAGGTTACGTAGCATTTCCATTAAACCTCCACACTCTTTTTCCAACCTCTCCTTGAACATCCTCGTGGGGAAAGGAATGGGTTGGCTTGTACTCAACCTGCGGAGGTGGTGTCGGCGATGCCTTCCTTCCACTTTCTTCTCTCCCCTCGGGGGCTCTTCCTCTCCATCCTTCAGGTTGGAATCTTCCTTCTCACTCACTTCTTTAGCGGCAACTCCCGGAGTCACCTTTCCACTTCCCACTTAAATTGCATTCACCCCGGCATGATCCTTGGGGTTCGCCACGGTTTGGGAAGGTAGGGCTCCCTTTGGTCTCTTGGTGAGGATCCCGGAAAGATTGCCGATTTCCACCTCCAAACTTTGGAGGCTCGCTTGATGGCTTCGGAGTCCCGCCTCTACCTAGGTAAACTTGGTAGTCGCCACATCCATAAATTGCACAATCTTCTCGAACTTTTGAGCACTCGTGCTCACAAAGGTGTTCACTAGGTCTTCAAGCTTGGATAGCTTGTCGGGTTGTTGTTGTTGTTGAAGCCCTTGGCCACCTTGTGCTTTATATGGTTGTTGGAAGCTTGAGCTTTGGACTTGAGGCCTTTGTTGGATGAAGGTTGGTCGAGGTTGATAATTTCCCGTGGGGCCTTTAAAACCCAGGGGTCTAGGATTAGTCGGTGATGACCAAGCAAAATTGGGATGGTTCCTCCATCTGGGATTATAAGTATTGCTATACGGGTTATTAGCCCTAGCATTTGCCACGAAGTTGACTTGTTCCTCCGAAGTGGTTGCCTCCTTCATTGCTTGGCACTCTGTTATCTCATGGCTAGTGCTCAAACACCAATTACAAGACATCACCGGCCTCTTTCCTTGCTTCTTATCTTCAAGAATTACCTTGATCAACTTTTCAAGCTTCGCTTCAAGTGGAGTGCTTGCTCCCACACTCCTCTATCATTACTTCTTTTCCCGCTCCTCATCAAACCCCAATCTTACCCCTTGAGGGCCATGTCTTCGAGCAATTCGGTCACTTGTGGTGGAGTCATATTCATCAATTTCCCATGACACAGAGAGTCAATTAGAATTTTATCTTCTTGGATTAGTCCACCGTAGAAAGTTTCAATTCGAAACTGCTCCTCGAACCCATGGTGAGGGCATTGAAGAAAGTAAACAGAGAATCTCTCCCAAGCATCCCTCAAGGTCTCGTCTTCCTCTTTCTAGAAATGGGTGATCTTCTTTCTCCACTCGGCCGTCTTCAAAGGCGGGCAGTAGCGAGTCATAAACTTGATGAGAAAAGCCTCAGTTGCAAAGTTTCAGCCGACATGCCATTCATTTTCAAGCTCCCCGCGAGCTCCAGGAATCTCTGCACATGCTCTCTTGGTGACTCGCGTGGAAGACCGTGGAACAAAGAATTGTTCTGTATCATGGTCACTAGAGCCGACTTGATCTCGAAATTGTTGGCCGCCACGGGAGGGTGTAGGATTGGCGATTTAATGTCCACCGGCCGATAATTCCCCGCTGTTTAATAGTTATGGCTAATATATTGTATTTGCCCAAAAAACTATAAAAAAGAGGAAGGCTCAGTGAAACGTAACTAACTGAAACGTAACCAACTGAAACGTAACCATCTCATGCAACACTTGCTTAGCCTATATACTCGGGCTCGATCTCACCACAAGTTTTAGTTAGTTGCGTCCACTTGTCATAAAAAAGGAAAAGATCGAGTTCGTGACGTTACGTCCGCCCATGCATAGCCCTAGATAGCTTGGTTACTAGTACAACACTACAATTGGTTGTCATATCTTGTTTATGTCACAACTTCGTTCTAAGACCAGGTAAATTTATATATTAAGATCGAATCGGTTACGCTATGTCGATCTTCTTATATATGACTCCATCATGCAACGATGTCATATCTCCATATACAAGTTTTAGCTTGCTTACCTCATCGATCGTTGTGTGATTAGGACACATGAGCGGTGTAGAGAGATAAGACCAGGTACGTACGTACATGTATGAACTTTGCTAAGCCATAGGCTTAATATAGTGATGAAGTTGGGGTTTGTGCTAGTACGTTATGTGTTTAATTTGTTAATTATAATGTGGGTTTACGTTTGGGTTATTAGTTAGTAAGTGGGTTAGTAGTACATAGGTTATAAGTGCATGGACCAAAGTGTGGTACATAGGTTAGTAAGTTTGGGCTAAGTAGGAGTTCGTTGGGGTGTTGTCCGAGTTGGCTATGGTAGTTAGTAGGGTTTGGAATTGGAGGTGATTCGAGTTACATATTTGGTTTTTAACATCTATATATGGTATTACGACATTAGTCCGAGACATCCAAATCAATAAACAAAACAAGCTTTTGACACTTAGGTCGTGTTCTCACTTATGAGTTGCAAGCAAATTAAATTCTTGAATCGTGAGTTACGGTTCATCACATAGTTAAGATAACCTTTGTTTGATGAGAGTTGTTATTATCGATAGGGCATTAGTTGGCGTAAGAGGTATAAGTTACGTCTGTTAGGAAATTGTATATGATCCATTATTAAAACTCTCTCAACACTCGAGTTATTGGGGATTTGGGATCAACTGACAATGTCTACTTGTACATGTACATAAGGATTTCGTAACAATTTAATCGGTTATTGAACACAAGGTTAATAGCCATTAAATAAAAGGACACTCCATTACGTAAAAGTTTCCGTAATGAGATTTTACAACTACTACATAAGTTAAGTATACATTACGTAATCATATAATGTCTATGGTATTTTATGTAATGCGACCTGCAAAAACCTACTAAGTAAAAACAATCAAAGTTATGTACGTAACGTGAAAGCATGGTAGGAATTTCATACTATTACACCTAAACCGCCCTTCAACAACACCTCTCGCAGTTGGTCCTCGTACTCGGGCTCAAGACCGCTGTCTTTAACGTCACAGATCACAATTTTGCCTTCCGTTTTCTCTTTGCTCAGGGAATTGGGTTCGCAACTTCTGTAAATAGAATAGAATAGAATAGAATAAACGAGGCATAAATAATGGTATAGTTGGTCCATCAGAAAAATGTCAGGGAATTGAACACCTAAGACCACGTACCTTGCCGCAGCGAAGGAGACATTGCCTTTCTTTGCTGATCGGCCATCTATCAGCGGGTAGATCGGCGATCGACTGATCAGACCGTCTACCCCTATCCATTCCCCCTGTTTATAGAAAGAAATAGAGTTTAATTTATTATCTGTCTGTCTGGTCAATTTAATTACATTTATTAAAAATATATATAACATAAATTTTCTTAGACGAAGAGAAAAAAATATACCTTCACAACTTGGCCTCCGCCCAGGAGGATGTTGGATTCGAAAGCCCTGTCCACCGTTATGATCCACGGCGCATCGTTGGAAATCGTGGAGGGGCGGGGCCCGCTGTTTCCACCGGCACAAACGACGGTGATCCCGTGCTCGACGGCGTGGAAGGCGCCGAGGGCCTGCGGGTCTCTGAGAAAGTCTCCGGAATTGTCAGAGCCGAGCGAGAGGGAAATGACGTGGACGCCGTCGGCGATTGCGTCATCGAACGCGCCGAGAAGAAGCCAGTCCGGGCAATCTCCGTGCTGGCACACTTTGTACACTGCAATCCTCGCGGACTCGGAGCCTCCCCGGGCGGTGCCGGCTGCAAGTCCGTCGTCGACGCCACTCCCGGCCACTCACGGCCACTCCCGCCGCCGTCGACGCCACGTGGGTCCCGTGGCCGTCTAAGTCTCTTGGGGTGTCGCTGATGTTTGTGTAGTACCTGGCACCAATGATTTTCCTGTTGCAACAAATTAAATAAAAATGATGAAGAAAATAGTGACAGTGGGGTAATTAATTAATTAATTACTTACTTACGTACCCATTGCAGGCTGTGGTGTTGAAGTTTCTTCCGGTCATGCAGGTACCATTCCATCCACGTGGGAAGCTGTGATTGGTGCCTTGCAGTCGGAAGCTCTCGGACTCGGGCCATATCCCGGAGTCGAAGATTCCGATTACAATGTTGCTGCTGTCGGGTTGTTTCTTGCTGCGGCAGCTGCTCGGCGGCGGAACGGCGTCGGATTCACTCTGCAACTCTTGGAGGAAGTCCCGGGATCTTGTGGTGTGGAGTTTCAAGTTGGAACCGGGGAACACCGAGACTACTCCTGGTTGGGCTGCTATGGACTGGGCCTCCGCCGGCGAGAGACGGGCCGCGAAGCCCGATAGCCCATGACTGTAACTCCTCAAAACGTCCGTCTCCCGCCTCCCACCGCTGCCAAAAACTCAAACGACTCAGAATTAAATACATACATACATACATACATTATACATACTATAAACACACGCAAAAGACAAATATAAACACCGAATGATTAAGAAAGAGAGATGATTAATTTAATAACTGCGTTCGTTGTCACCTTTGAAGGAGAGAGTTGAGGACCGTTTCCTTGGCAGCAAAGTTGACTGGGTTTGCTGCACCCATATACACTATGTAAACAGCATCGGAGGAAGAAGATTCAGCAGCACTGCCACCGCGGTCGTTGAATTGGTTATTGGTGGACTCCGCCGGGGCTGGCAGCAGCGACAACAACAGGATTGCGCAACTGATGAACATGTATATACATTCCTTCATTCTAAGAAAATAAAAACAACAAATGTGGTTATTGATGTTGTTGCTGTTAATTTATCTATAGCTTTTTCAAAGAACAATCTGGGCTCTCGTATTACAACTCACACCGGAGAAGAGGCAAGCCCATATGATGTGGGCGCAGGGGAGCTGAATCCAATGGGATCGCTCAACCCAGGGCTCGTCTACGAGACCGACGTGACTCACCACTTGTTGTTCATGTGTTATTACGGCTACGACACCAACACCGTGAGGTGGATATCCAAAGTTGCTCGCTCCTCAAACTTTTCGTGCTCTCAAGACTCACAATCGGACCTCATCTCTAATCTCAATTTCCCATCAATCTCGGTCGGACTGACGGGAGCCAATCGAACCAGAACCGTTCCGAGGGTCTTGACAAATGTCGCCGGAAATGGAAATTGGACATACAAGGCCGTGCTCGAATTTGGAGGAGCTGGTCCAGTGTCGCACGTGAGGGTCAAGGTATTCCCAAGAAAGTTAACGTTCACCGAAAATGGACAAAGGCGTTCTTACAAGATCAAGTTTTCATCCAAGGAAGATTATCTTATGAACCAAGAATTTGTGTATGGTTGGATAACCTGGACCAACCCACATTTCAAGGTCCGATCACCATTTGTCGTCCGGATGAATTAGTTATTACTATTTTGTAGTTCATCGCATGCAGAAAAATATTATCACTTAGTTGGTGATCATAATATTTCAAATAAATATTGTTATTTGTAGTCTTTTGATTTCTATCTTTACTCTTCCTTTCTTTGTTATGTTTTAATGTGTGACATTTAATTTCCTGTCATTTTATTAATAGATTATTTTATTTTATTATTAATTTTATCTTAATCTGAGATATTCTAATTGTTTTTGCTAAATATGTTTATATCGAGCATGAATATTTGCAAAAAACAACATGCATGAGTATTATATATGTCACTAGATTATATGTATTGGTGATGAATAATATAAACTTATTGAAACACAAAGATATTCACATAAAAGGAATATCATATTCAAACAATATCAAAACTAATTTTTGCATAACAAAAATGTCCAAGCTACTACTAGAAATTTAGTACTATCAGTATATATGAAAGTGTAAGCCAAAAGTTCATAAGATTTGATAACTTAGTAGTTTGATAGGTCAAGTGAGACCATCGCAGATGAAGAGGCGAAAAGGACTTGATCGAGAATCTATGAGAACGTCAAATGAGAAGTCAGATAATTCTTCAAACAAAAGAGTTATCATGTCATATTTGTTCTCAAAGAGAATTAATAGAACATTTCACAATCTCTTGTCAAAGAGTAAACGTATTTCTTGAGGTTTACACTACAAGAAAATTATGGTTTTGTGTCGGTTGATTAGTGTCGGTTAATAGAACCGATACAAATTTCAGAATTCGCTTCGGTGATTTGAGTCGGTTAAGTAACCGTCACCTTTTTGTGAAGTTAAACTTATAACTGAGACAATTTCCTCCATATTGGTGTCGTTTAACATTTGTGTTGGTTTTAACCAAAACAATTTTGTGCATTGAGTTGGTTTTTAACCGACGCAAAGTGACAATTTTAACTGATTTCAAGTGGTAGACACAGTCGGACTAGAAGCCCCAGTGGCACCGTGCGGCGGGTGATGGATGCGGTGGTAAAACGCCAATGAGAAGGAAGAAAGATGTGCTTGAGCGATGGTGGGTAAGTTTGAATTTGGGGTTTCGATTACTGGGGATGCCTGGGAGTGGGTGCCACCGCATTTTCTGAATTTGGTGGTTCCACCGTCGCCTTGGGAGTTAGGAGAAGAGGGGAGGAAAATAGGTTGAAGATGCACAACATCATCTGGGAAATTTTTGGACACACGAACTGGCGACAGGCGGAAATTCTTATCGGCGGAGCTCAGGTTCGACCTATCAACGGCGAGATGGGAACTTGTTTTTTTTAAAATAAAACGACACACGGATTTATGTGGTATCCACGAAAACCGGGACTAATCCACGGAGAGCATGGCTCTCGAGAGAAACTTCACCAGTCTATGATAGAAGTATTTTCGGCTAGGGTTCTTCAACCCAATACACGACATCACCAGCCCTTACATACCACTCTACATTCACGTGGTATATGGGCAAAGTACAAAAACATCACCATAAAATAAAAATAGCAAATACAGCCCAATACTCCCCCTCAAGGTGAAGCATGAAGCTCACAAATGCCAAGCTTGGATAAAAATGTATGGGAACTAGTGTGCACCTTACGAGGAGCGATCTCGCCAGAAGTAACACACTCATGAACAAAATAACAGTCCATCTCCACATGCTTAGTCCGCTCATGAAAGACGGGGTTAGTAGCAATATGAAGAGAAGCCTGATTGTCGTAGTAAATAGGTGTGGGAGTGCACTGGGGAACGCGCAACTCGCCGAGTAAGAAGCGAAGCCAGAGGATCTCATTGGTAGCACTAGTTATGGCACGGTACTTTGCTTCTGCGGAAGAATAGGCTACAACCCACTGTTTCTTATCACACCAAGAAACCGGGGCACCGTCTAACTGAATATATTAGTCAGTAATAGAGCGACGAGTAGACTGACAACCTGCCCAGTCGTCATCACAATAATTAGTGAGCTCCAAAGAACCAGTTGAAGGAAGAAGAACACCGGAGGACACGGTGAGCAGCTGCAACATGATCAGGACTAGGGGCATACTAACTGGCTGAGCACATTGATCGAGTAGGCAATATCCGACCGAGTGATGGTGAGATGAGAAGCCGCCCAATGAGACGATGATAGGAGCTGAAGCAGAGTACGAGTAAGTGTATGATTCTGCTCCATAGGAAAGCCACTAGGACGAGCCACACTCTTGTCAGCATCAGCCAAAAATCAATGGTATACTTGCGCTGACAGAGAACAATACCATCCGGCAAACGAGCAACCTCAATGTCCAAGAACTACGTGAGAGGCCCTAAATCCTTAATGCTGAAGCGATCATGCAAGAATGTCTTAACCCGAGCGACGGTATTGATGTCATCACCTGTCAGGACCACATCATCCACGTATATCAAAGCAGCAACATAAACACAAGCACCTCATACACAAAGAGAGACAGATCAGCCTGCGAGACAGTGAAACCAAACTGAACCAGTGCCTTAGTAAATTTTGCATACCAATTGCGGGACGCCTGATGAAGACCATAGAGAGACTTACGGAGATGGCCAACACGGGAGTCGCCCTCTTACGCAAAGCCTGGTGGTACTTGCATATACACTTCTTCATCAAGATCTCCATGAAGGAATGCATTGTTGACGTCTAGTTGATGAAGAGGCCAACCCTTCTGCGCAACAACCGCCAAAAGAACACGGGCAGTGACGAGCTTTCCAACAGGAGCAAAGATGTCATGAAAATCAATACCCTCCAGCTGAGTAAACCCCTCGGCGACTAGACGAGTCTTGAAACGCTCGATAGTGCCATCGGGATGATACTTTATTTTATAAACCCATTTGTAGTCAATCAAACGCTTCCCAGGTGGAAGTGGCTCTAAGGTCCATGTTCTGTTGGCAACCAAGGCATCAATCTCCTTCTCTGGCCACACGCCATTGGCGATACCGAGCAGCTTGAGAGAAGTGGCGAGGCTCAACCAAGGAGGTCATGGCTGCCAAGAAAGCACAATGGTTAGCCGAAAAAACGATGGTAGCTAACATAATTAGAGATGGAAAAATTCCACATGTTGAGAATACGTACCGGGAAGCTTGACCTCATAAGAATCGAGTCTCGCAGGGAGATGGCGATCCCGAGGCGGGGTTCGACGTGGTTGCGGGAGAGAAGCAGTCGGTACCTGAGGAAGAGACGCCGAACTGGCATGATCATCGGAGGAGAAAGCCGATGCGTCGAGGGGAGAAGTGGGAGCTATCGGAGAATAACCGAAGGTCGCAGCCGTGTCGTGAGAGGAAGTCTTAATCCCAACACAATCAGCAGCCGAGATGGGAGAGGATGTCTCAATCCCAACATCATCAACAGGTTCATCATCCGCAGAAAAGAGAGACTCCCAATCGCGAGTTGATTTTCTCTATTAGGGTCGTGAATGTTATCTTGGACACTTGATCATGGATGACCGGGACACTCCCCTCTCACTACAAGAAAAGTTATATGTAGCTATGAATCTATTCGTGGCTAAATGATCAGTTTTGCATGGCAAAAGTATATAGCCACAAAAAAACAATTTTGTAGCACGTGTGACTAAAAGTGGCGCAACTAAAGGTTAGCCATAGTGCTTTGCAGTTGCGTGGCTAATAAGCATTAATCAATATTTTAGCCATAAAAAGTATACAACATAGCTACAAGAGTAAATGATTCTTGCCACAAATGTGAAACTGATATAGCAAAACCACAAGGAGCTTGGTTTGAAAAACTATCCTCATTTCTTTTGAGTAAAAACTTTACCCAAGGGAGTGTAGATAAAACACTATTATTAAGAAAGAAAAATTAGACACCTTAATTGTGCAAGTGTATGTTGATGATATTGTATTTGGGTCAACAAATCCCTCAACGTGTAAAGAATTATGTGAATCTATGAAATCAGTGTTCGAGATGAGTATGATGGGGAAACTTTCATACTTCCTTGGACTACAAATTAAACAAACCAATGTTGGAATTTTCATTTCTCAAACCAAATATATTGAGACTATGCTTAAAAGATTCGACATGAATTTGTTAGTCCCATCACCACTCCTATGGCCAAAAATTTGAAATTGGATAAAGATGAATCTGGTATACCCTTATGCTAAAGAAAATATAGGGGCATGATACGATCCCTACTCTAACTTACTGCAAGTAGACCAAATATCCAATATTGTGTAGGGTTATGTGCCAAATTTTAGTCTCAGCCTAAGGAAAGTCATTACAAAGCCATAAAACGAATTTTTAGATACCTTAAGGGAACTACTAAACTAGGACTATGGTATCCTATCACAGACTCTTTCAATTTAGTTGGTTACACTT